TAAAAAGGATTGAACGCAAGCTGGAAATGCAAAAAATTCCTGGCTTTGCCAACACAATGAGAAAGGAACAGCTAATATCTTATTCCACGGTAAGAATCCTGAACTGGACAGGCATTCTTATGTGCGTACTCAACATGTAACGAATTGGATAGAGAGAGAGAGAGAGATAACATACGAATCGCATTCTGTGGAACGAAGGTAGTCGTCTCAAAACGTGCCGAATTGAAAGATGAGAATCCCAATACTGATTTAGGAGCGCGTTCAGGAAACACGCTCCGACCAAAAAGAGTGTAGTCAATTTGGTCTTAGTTTGTTCAAGAACAGTAAAGCGTTCAATTTAGACATTTAGCTACTCTCGTTCAGAAAGTCGAGAAAAATTAGTCTAGAGCGCACTCTTTTTTGCCCAGTTTGGAACGGATTAATTTGAATAAATTTGACAGAACGTAAAGTTCTCTTGCAAAAGTTGTTTCATATTATTTTTGTGTATCATAAGAGTGTTTGTCCATGGAATTTTATAAAATTAAATTTGTTTTGAAAAAAATAATCTAAATTTTTTTGTCTTATTGACTTTATAGATCATTCATTATAAACTCAACTATAAATAGGGTTGCGAATTGGTAAATATTAAAATAAAAAGAAAAAAATATGCTTATTTGAACTGTCACATGTCACACAGTCAAATTCCTTATAAAATTACCTTTTCAATGATGTGTCACACTTAGTACTTTCGCTATTTCAATTTCATTGGTAATAGTGACAGAGGGGTGAAGAGGGATGTAAAATAGTTGAGGATACGATCGAAAGATGTCCCCTGGCTTTTTAAATACTGTTTTTACGTTGACGTATGATATTTCTCATGAAAATCTTGAGAGAATTAACTTTCTCTCGAGTCTGAAAATAGCCCTCCAGTTGTTTGTATTGTTTTCACTGTTATTCTTCCTTGTGAACTACAGGTCCATATTGTAATTGTTTATGTTAATAAATAAATAATTTTATTTTAAATTTTAATGAGTAAACAAATATAGTATTTATATTTTTAATTTGATTATAAATTCGTTCAATCCTTTTTTTGTTCTTGCATAATACATACTCGTATATATATTACATAATATTACATATTATTAGTAACATATTTAAGTATAAATATAAATAATGAATAATAAAGTTTTAAATGAATGAATTCGTTAATTTATAGAGAACAAACTAAAAATATGTTGACAATGCAGTCATAAACACAACTCACTTATTAATAGCTTTTTAATCTGAATGGCTTTAGATTTTGTTTCTTAATTGTAATAATACATTTAATAAATTAAAAAAGTTTATAATCTACTTACTTTAAAGCAATCCGAGTTAATTATCTAAATTTCCCAAATGTTGCATTTCCTTAATGAGAAAGAAAATATCGTCAGTTACCACAGAATTTTATTAAACAATCTTTTTCTGTCAATTTTAATTTCTATAATTACTCAAATTTTCACTTTAATTTACTCTCTCTCTCTTTCCATTGACCATTGACTTATAACAACAATATCTAGCAAAGAGTCTAGAGATTTTTTAATTCAAATGAATTCTTTGTTTTAATATGCTTTGACATGCCTCCCATAACATGTTCACTCTGTTCCTCCTATTTTCTATAACTCTACCTTCCTCAATTGCTTGACTACCTTGTTTGCCTCGTTCCTTCCCCCAAGTTATCATTTAACACTGATTTTGTAGATCTTACCTTCCCCCCAAGTAAAATTTTTAGATTTAACAAATATACAAGGTAACCATAAAACCCTTTTTTAAGACACTGATAAAACTTTTGAATCCGCGAGATAGCCTCAGGGCTGCTATAAATCTGCTTTAAGAATAAAAGGAAGAATCCTATAACGGTTCTTAGGAGTATTTTTAAAACAATTTCTTAAGACTAATTAGACTTAAGACAAAGTCCGTAAGAGTATATTTAGAATTTTATTAAACTATTTTTAAATCTTTTTTAAGATTATGATAATAAGTGGGATAGGCATAAAAACTTTACAAAACTAATCAGTTTTAAGAGAATTCAATTTTAAAATGTTTTATCTTTTCTGTTTTATCTGTTTTCTGTTTTACTCTCTGACAGAATGATTTTGCAAACATGTTGGGAAGACTGCCATATTAGAAATTAATTATTATATAGTGTATGTTTAATTTGTTTAATTACACTTGTTATTTCTTTAATTTTCAAACACACACCAAAGTACTGTTAAAAGTGGGCAAGGTGGGTCGTAACAAATGATGGGACTTACAATAATAATAATAATACTCTCCCTAATTCACCCCCTTACGAGTGAATTTTAACCCCAAAAGCTGAGCTTGTCCGGGGAAAGGGACGGCTATTATTATTATTTGCCGTGGCGCTCCGGGGCGACTTAAAGATGATTGATGGTGCCATTTGACTTACAGGTGAGGAAAACCCGGAAAACCTCACCCACCATCATCGAGACGGTAATGTATGGCGAATTTTTTTAATCTATATGAAATATACGTGAAAAAGAATTATTATACGGATTCTAATCTATTTACCGAAAGTTATTTAATAGTAAATAACATTGAAAATATCGAATATATAGCACTATAAAATGATTACATTTGTCTTCGATATGTATTATAGTATTTTGTATTTTTAAAATTATTTCATGGAAGTGACTATTTAACCGCCAATATAAATCCATAAATAATAAATGTACTGTCATTGGCACAATGTTGTCATTGGCACACTGTTGTCATTGACACACTATCACTGTCTTTGGTACACAAAATACGTCATTACTAAAATCGAAAGATTTTAGAATTATTTGCAATTTGACCATAATTTATTTGAATATCCTTTAGGTACAGGTCTGGTAGACAGGTACTATTTTACATGATATGTGATTAAGCAGCCACTGCCATATTTAAAATAGAGTATTTCCTCATTGTGTTCTATCTGTACCTAAAAACGGACATTAGCTTATAAAACTAATAAAGCAAAAAAAATACTTTTTAGGACTTTCCAGTTTTAAAAAGCTCCTGCTACACTTTTTAAAGCATTTTATAAAACAATAGTAAAAAAGGAAAACCTCACAATAAAACATTCATAAGTTTAACCAGATGGGCATAACCTAACCTCACTCTTGAGCTTCTTATTTACTCTACGAACAAGTAATATAAAAATTAGTAATAATATATTAACCATTTTTCTCTTTTACTGATCATTTCCAGAATATTAGGAGCCTAGGAATGTTTTGATATTTGTCAAACAATAGAACACAATGAACTTATTAAACACCGAGGAGAAGGAGAAACATATACATATTTAGGTTACGTTCGACTTTAGGGACACACTGTTTGACCAGTTTTACTTAATTTTTTTGATTTAAATGATATTAAGTATGATTTTAACTCACCTTAGGTTTGGAAATAGGAAAAAAAAGTATAAATCGATTATATATTTTAATTAAATACTTTTTGAAAATAAGAAAACGAGTCTTTTATTAAATTTAACCTAAAACTTGTAAATTTTAATATTTGACATTTCTTTTCTGGATAATGAGCGGGGTTGCCAAGATTAATTTATTACTACTATTATTAAAACTAAGTAGTCTGGGTATTAACAGTATGACCAGGTAGCAGAGAATTTAGAGTGAAATTTTATGTTGAATGAGTCAAAATGATTTTGTAACATTGTATTTTTAGAAATTACTCAAACATGTCATGTGAAATGTCAGTAAGTTATAAAAACTTACAAAGGATTCCTGTTTAATTGTATAAACAATTGTATGAGCTGATATGAACAGATATTATTCTTTGATCTGTGTTAAGGGGTCGGGGAGCGATGTTTGATACAGATTCTGGTATTTTATCACAAAATTCTATTATTTTTATTTAAATAAACAAATCATAAAAGTATAATAATTATTTACGAGTTTACAAATTAATTATATCTTTTTACATATTAAAATACTTGGCAACCCTGTACACAAAAGTCAAAATATTTGATGAAAAATGTGCAATTTTTGAGATTTTAATATTAAATTTCTCGCTTAATCGTGGATAATCTCCAAAAATTTTTTAATTGTAATGATATATAACTTTTTTACTTTCTAATAGTACAAAATGTTTTTTGAAATTCGTGTGTTTTAAGTCGAATGTAACCCATTTTTTTTTTCATTCTCTATGGAAATTACCACTTTTCTTTATTTTGAACAATTTATCTTTCAACGTCAACATAATGTGATTGAGTTGAAAAGTTAGGTTATGCTTGATAACAAACTTTAGTTCTTATTAAAACTATGTAGTTTTAAAAGAGCTCTATGGTTTACTATATTAAATAAATTATAAGAGTTATGTTGTAAAATTGTAGAAAATGTACCTAAAAGGTTCTGGGATCAATTTAATTTAAAGTTTAATCCTAAAACACTTTTTAAAACTAAGTTCTAAAACCTACTTAAGATAACTGCTAAAAAGTATGCCTCTTTAACACCAAACACACCTTAGGAGTATCTAAAAACTAAATAGTTCTAAAATTACTTATTAATTAACCCTTACAGGACAGCGATAAAGCATAGTTTACTTTTGAATAAACTTGTTTTTTTAAACAGATTTAAAGGAATCTATAAAACCAAGTAATAAGATCAATTTATCCTGCAGTCCTATTAGCAAAAATAATAACTGTAATAAAATAATTGTTAATTTTTATGCTTTTACAAAATCCTAATAAAACATAAATAAAACTTTATTCTCTTAAAAATGTTATTTGGATTGACTCAAAAAATGTTTTCAATTAACACACCAACTCGGAAAAATACCGGCCTGATGACGGCACACAGTGACCGAAACATATAATAAAATTATGTGGTAATTCAACTCGGAATTCATAGGTTGAGTTTTAAACCGTTTTATTTATTAGTCTAATTAATTTGGGTTACAAAATTGATTATCATCAAATTATTTATTTTGTTAAATAATATTAAAAAGTATGTTTTTATGCTTACCCAATCGATTAACAATGTCATTATTTACTTCACTAATAATATCCACAGATTCCATGGTTGTTCCAATTACTTAACAATAATACTATTTATTTCATAAACAGATAAGTTTAATGTATAAAACTTAATCACGTTTTTTTCCACAGTACCAGTTACCAATTTAAAAACCGCACATAATTTTATTCTAACAGATAACGGTTAGGTATATCATCAACTGCATCAACATCAGCAATCATACCATCACATCATATCACATCACATATGACCGTAAAACGTTAAAACGGTTTATGTTGCCGAGATAAAAGAAATCGATAAAATTAGATAAATTATTTATTTATTTTGCTCATCTGTTGAATACTAGATTAGGTAAGAACTATTTAGATATATTTATATTTGAGGATACACACTACTATACTAATTAAATACATACAAGGTCAATGTAACAAGAAAAGTGAACGACTGATTTTGAAATGGATATAAACGATTGGCGCTGGCATACGGCATACCTATGGTGCGGTCTGCGATATGTGAATATAACGAAAAAATTTCAGTTTTTATCTCAAGGACATTTGATTAATTTACTGACGTTCAGCGATATGCAATTAATAATAATTATTCCGTATTTTTATTTTTATTTTTATTCTTGTTGGTGTAACAGCACTTGGTTGATGTTTATCAAATTATATTACCGATACTTACATAACAGTTATAGGGGTCTATTCTGTAAAAATTCCTTTAAATTTAACGGCCTTTAAAAATATTTTCTTCTTTAATTCGGTCACTATTTAAACGGATCTTTAAAATACATTAGAGGACTATCTTAAAGAAATCTGTTTAATAATGATAGAAGTAAATTAACGAATACAAATATACTTTTAAAGGCCGCCAATATTTTTAAAGGCCGTTAAATATAAATGAATTGTTACAGAATAGACCCCATAAGCGATTAAATAATAATTTTAAAAATATTTTGACAGCACGATATTGTCTTTTAGAATAGATGTTTAAGGCTTATTTTCTAAAGTACATTTAGAGAATATAACAAAAAGAAGTTAACAATAACGAATTAAATATTATTCATTAAAAGTGATCATTTGTCCCGATTTAGGCAGGCCAGTCCCGATTTGAAACCACTAGACCCGACTTAAGAGTTATTGCTCCGTTCATGAGAACTAATTTGTCGGCATATTACTCCTATTATACCCATACCTTCAAAATTCCAAGAACGGGTCGTCGAGATACATTTCTCCTATCATAGGAAATGGATCGGCGATTTATTTAGTTATACCGGTGAATTGAAGATTTGAACGTATTTAGTAAAATTTTGAGTCTAAAAGAGAAAGTTATTTGTGAATTTTCCAATAAAACTAAGAAAATTAGTTAGTCAAAACATTCTTCGTTTAAGAACATCTGTTACGAAGGCAGTTTCCTATAGAAAAGAAAATAGTCTTAGCACTATTAATAACGTTTTGCTTTTAAAGAAAGACATATACAATGCAAGTTTTCACGTTTTTGGTGATCATAAAAACTGCGATATTTATTTTTGTCGGAAGCGTACAGATAAAACCAAAAACGAAATAACCAATTTCAGATCTAAACCTGAATTTTTTACAAGACTTCTACAAATTATACATGCTTTGTCAGATCACAGCAGAAGTCTATTACATGATGTTGATAGTAATATTGTGGAACAATTTCATGCGACAGTCGCTAAGTTTGTAGGTGGCAAAAGAATCAATTATTCCAGAGGTCGCTCTTACCAAAGTAGATGTTTTGCAGCAGTTGTATCATATAATTCGAAATCAGGGAATTTAGAATTAAAAAAAACTTTAAACCGTACTAACCAATCCATGTTAGTAACTGAATTAAAAAAAAAGGCGACAATTAGCAATAAAATCAAAATCTAATTGCAAATTAAAAAAAAGTTATTCTGCAAAAACCAATAAAACTGATTTAGATTATGGAGAAAATTGTACCAAAAAGGATTTAGATCAAGATATTTATGAAGTAAAAAAACTTCAATTTTTAAACGAATTCCCTTCATCTGACGTTAAGAGAAATGTAATTTAGGAACAAACTATGTCACAGGCGGATTGCAGGGTTTGGTTTGAAATTCCTAGAAAAATAATTACGGTCTCACACTTTATAGCAGTGTGTCCTAGACGAATTACTACTTTATGTGAGCCTTTAGTCAAAAGGATTATTTACCAACTACCAGTCAATGCTGCTATTTCTCATGGCCAAAAGTATGAAAAAACGGCACTTTTGCAGCTTCAAGAGCAGGACAATATAGTGATTAGAGATTGTGGAATTTTTATTGACAAAAAATATCCATATTTAGGTACCTAACGATCAGTTCACATTTTTACTCACATCTCAACTATAACATATTGCAAATTAGTTCATTTTAAATCAAAATAATAATTTTTAAATTTGTAGATGCTACTCCAGACGGCATTGTAGGAGATGAATTAGTGGTTGAAATAAAATGTCCATACGCCGCATTTCAAATGCAAGTAGAAGAGGCGATTAAATTGAAAAAAATACCTTTTTGGATTTTTAATAAAGACACCAATAATTTTGACATTAATATCCACCATCAATGGGTATTTTCAAATACAAGGCCAATTACATATTACAGTACGAAAAGGATGTATTTTTGGTGTATGGACAGGTCCCAATTATCCACTTAAAGTGAAATATATATAATAAAAAGAGACGATTTCTAGTGTAAAAATATGGAAGAGAAATTAAAAAAGTTTTATATAAACTGTATGTTGCCAGAAATGGTAGATCCAAGGCACAATCGGGGAATGTCATTAAGAGAACCTGATTACATCTTAGAAGCTATTTAAAATAACTACCTCCAAAAAGTCAAATAACATTTATAGTAAGATGTTTCTACAAAGCCGCTATTTATTCTAAAAGTATTTTCTTTAATATTTTTGATTTTAATCTAGGTACTGTTAAAACGCTATAATACCTATATTTAATTGCAGGTCTTCTGTAACTAATTTATTTGTAGTACTGGGTCCAATTAAGTTACCAAAAAATAATAACCGATCATTTTAAATACATTTCGTATGACTACTTATCAAGCTGTTTAGTCAAACGCCCTGCTCTTCACAAAAACAAAATTAAATTATTTTATAATTTGTGATACATTTACATCATATCTAAAAATTAAAAAAAAATTGATGTACAGGGTTCATAATCAGTGGCGGCTTGTGGTAATTTAAAATGGGTGTTCACTTTTTCCAGTAATTTCATTATATGTAAGTTCGGATCAAAACTTTGTACAAGAGCCAATATCCTTTTTTTTATTATTTGAGTTTGTATTAAGTGTAGTTATTATTATCAACATCATACTGTTTTCAAGCACTAAAACTGTTAATAAATGAGTATTTTAGTTAGTGATATTTGTTTTGTTTTCAATACGTTGAAAACCATCTATAAACATTATTAGTTTGTAAACTGACTTCTCTTCATAATTTGAGATTATTTTTAAATATATATCCGGTTATGTAGAAAGCTTGTCATTGATTTTTGTGTAAAAAATTTTATATGAAACTTTACCTACCATTTTTTAGTTTTTATTGTAAGTTTAATCATTTTCACAATTTATCACAGATGTTAAATAGAAAATATATTTTTTAAATACCTTTTATTGGCAAATAAAATAAGAACTAAAATGTTTTAAATGTTTATTTTATAAGATCAGTTCCATCACAATACATAATATTACACAGACAAACTAGAATAAAGATATATAATAAATGATACTCTTCACAGTTTAACAGACCCCCTTAACCCCCATTTTTAAGCAGATTGTTTTCACAATCAATAGGCCTCATCTCCTTATAGACCTTGATTTTTACTAAAACTTTCATGTTAATGTCGCTTTTCATTTTTGATTTTTTTTTAATTTCAACCCCATTTAAATCCCCCATATTTATTCAGATTTTTTTTTATAATGAAAGGGCTTCTTCTCCTTTTAGAGATTAATGTTTGCTAAAAATTGTTTGTGAGCGGCGCGCCAATTAATGTGTTCTTTGACAGTTTGCAGGATCTGTTGGCGTGTTGTCTTCTCTTTTTAGCTATATGCATTCGGCATATCGTCTCCCTCGTGTTAGGCTTACTCATCATAATGCGCCACAGACAGTATATTTAGGTATACTGTGACACAGAGACGCGATCAGCCAGAGGACAATGATGTACAAAAAATATAGATTAACACGTATGAAAATAAAAATATTAAAATTAAATTTATATTTTTGTTATATATGTAATATTAAAATAATGTGTTTTTATGAAATTTAACTGGGTGTTCAATGCACAAATGAACCAATGGAGAAACCGCCTCTGTTCATAATATATTTTGCCAATTTTGGCGTTTTTTTGTCCTTCTATAATATTTACTTATTTTAAAAGCAAAAAAAACTCTTTTTAAAATTTTTGACATCAAAAAGAGAAAATATGTATTCATATCTTAAAGTTAGAAACAACAAAATATGATAACATCATTCAATGGCAGCGATCATGAAATTCGGACCAATCAAAGCCGGATAGAACAAAACACTTCGGCTCTGTTCCCTCAGTTTTTAAAATATTATTTCTATAAGAATATCTTTTTGAGTTTCAGTCTATATATATAGACCGAAATAATTCTGAATTTCATTCTCTTAAATCAATAGCATAAATTACTAATAAGAGGCATTCGTAAGTATTGTAAAAATTGCATATTACTATTATACGTTAAATGGTGTAAATTAATATATTTTATATATTTGTACAAAATAAAATATTAAGTCATCTTCTTGCTTTATTTATTCTATGCTGAAAGAGGGCATCCAAGGAAATATCTTCCTGTAAACAATTATACAGTCTACAAATTATCAGATCACTACAACAGCAGACAGCAACAAAATCAGGAAAAACTTGTAAGTAAAACTATTTTCTCCACGTTTCATTCACAGATAAGTCAGAAAACATGTAAATTATTAATATAATATGAAACATTTGTTAAATACATTATTTATAAGGCTGATTTATAGATTTTTTATATTAGTAGCTTAGTTGATATTCTTTGCAAAATGAATTTTTTTTAGAAAATATAATATATACCTACTATACAAATATAATTCTTCTACCTAATTTTTTCTAATAAAACTATGTTTTAAATATATTGAAACATTGCAAATTCCATATTGAAAACAAAATTATCTCATGTAATAAAATTTCCCTCCTCGCACTAACCGAGCAACACAGGATGGTATCACAGCGTATACAATACAGCTAAAACACTCTTTTGGCGGCAACGGTTTGCGTCGATTTCGTCGCGCATCGCTTAAGCTCCGCCTTCGGACGGAAAAGACGGTTGGCGTTCAGAAGCGTACTTAGGTAAGGTGTTGAGTCGTGCGTATAATTTTGTTGATTGTATAATTTCGTGGAGCCTATAATTTCGTTGATTTTGTTTGTGGTGACTCTTTAGCTGTGAGTAGAATGAGTGAAAAAAA